TAGCTGCAGTCAGGCGCCCTGGTCCTTCAACCGCGTTACAAGTGGTGAGCCAGCCAGGAGCCTTTGTGTGTGAATATTTTGGGGTCACGAACACAACTTTTCTTTACTTAATTGCTTCGTTTTAGTTGAAAATCAGAAATGGATTCAGTTGCACTTTCCAGCATGCTTTGCCAGTACATCCTTTTAGTTTTCCTAACTGTTTCCTCACCTCTGATGCTCGTTGCTATTTTTTCCTCAGTGCAAATTCATGCTATGCTCCTCCATATCCGTTCCTGTCCCTAAACCTGTAATAATTCCTTTAATGTATCTTTGGCCTAATTATGAGTCTGTCCATATGTTTGTAGTTTGCCACTTCCTTTGGTTTCTTTGCTCTGATTCTCTAAATTCATCCTTGAAATCATTCAACTGCCATCTCTCCCTCTCACTCCGACTATTCCCAGAATACCTGAGTATTCATCTCCTGGTTTATCATATGGCCTCTTTACATTTTCTCCCATCGTCCCTGCTTTTAGAGTCTTGCCCCATCTGCAGGCAGTCCAAGAGAAACTGTCATGCACCGTGGCGCGTGTACACAAAGGGGTCCAAACGCAGACTCAAGTGCTAGCAGAAAAAGACAGTTTATTATAATAACAAAAGGCGACCCGGGAAAACCAGAGAAGCAAAACGATTAAATAAAAAACCCAGGGAAACAATGACACGAGGAAGCCAGAATCGGGACCGTGGGAGGCTGCAACAGAAAGGGGAGAAGATTACTAGTGAGCCGGGAAGCAGGGGGAACACATCAAGACTGGGTTAGAATAGTTGGCTTACGATCAGAGCGGGACCGTGGGGGCTCGGGAGTGTATTGGAAATTTCTTTAGTTTATGTACTAATTACATCACTTTAGTAATAGTAGTAACACTTTCTGTACTTAGTATAGAAAGCTCACTCTTGACATAAGTTGTATCTGGAGGATAGGATCTGCTGTGGAATGTTCTTTGTTTGGGAGGTATAAAAGGGTTCAGGGTGATGTCTTTCCCTCAGAAAAATGGGTTAGGTGTGTGATCTGAACGTTTTTCTCCACTGCAGTATTTTTCTTTTCTTTTTTAATAAACCTCACTTCAAAGACACGCACGCCTGTTGGTTGCAATTTTTATTCAAGATTTTCCATAACAGGAGGGAAGTGTGAAAGTCCGTGGGAAGAGAATCCGTGGAGTTAGTGATGTGGCCAGATGATGCACCGGGTGATCCAATTGAGCAGGAGGACAGGCAGGTGGCAGATACTGGACGCCGGATCGAAACCACAGAGTGGTGATTAACAGACTGGGGTGAAGCATCTGTCAGCGCAGGGTTAAGTAGTCCTTCAGGTAATCATCCCGATGGAAAGCAGGTGTGCCGGTGATGGCCCAGCCCAGGGGTGTGGCCACCCGAGCATCACAGACTCCACAGACACAGGACCACGGACCATGACAGAAACTGCTTTTTCCATTTTCTTCTTCTTAATCGTTGATATTTCTCTTCACTTTCTCCATCGGGTCTTTTTAGACACACTTTCCAGAAAGCAGCAACTTTTTTTGTGCCCCACTTTTCAAACTGTGCATCTTACTTCAGCTTAATGTGTTTACTGTTTTGTTTTTACACAGGTCATATAAAAAAATGTGTCTGACATCAAAAATAATGTCACTATCTAAATGTAGTCTGCAGACATTATACAAAGCAGACATTATAACATCAAAAGGATTGGTCCCAGCAGAGGACCCTGTGGAACTACATGAATAATGTTAATGTGAGAGAATAATAACAATGTGTTCACTGTGATCAACAGTTTTTAATGCTGCAGTGAGGTGTAGCAGGACAAGCTTAGTGGTAACTCCCCTGAAAAAGTTTCACTTGAGCTGTTTCTGTGTAAATTACTGGTTTGTTTGAACAATTTCATCAGCTCAACCATAAATACTCCAAAACAATTTCTTTGTGATTCAGTGTGATTTTGCATTTTTTAATATTAGCATGTCAAACTCTACATTCTCTACACAGATGAGAAATGAAGTGTATTTCATAATAAAAGTTCTCTCTCAGAGACAAAATTAGTGTCTCATTCAGGTCTGTATCTGTGTCGTCTCAGACACAAGCAGTGCTCATATTTGCTGTTTTGTATATCACTCAGACCTCTTCCTCTTTCTGACAGAGGCAGCAATTTCATTTAAAGCTACATTCACTGATACAGGCTGCTAGAGGTCCAACCAGGAGGGTACACACATGATTCAGGGAAAAAAATCTGATTAATATTTTTGTGCTGAAACTTGAAAGTATACGTTCTCTTAGATAACTATTAGGAGGTGTCAAAGTAGTAAAATACAGATCTTTGAGTTAGATTTAAGGTGATTTTACAAATCATGTCTGTTGTAAATGAATAAGCCATTTATTGATGTGAGTCGGGTTTTAAATCATCATCAGAAAAGACTGAATACTGACCTGAGAATTCCCAGTGTGCACTTTGGACTCTCCACTGCAGAAAATAGAAGCTTCAGTCCTGAATCCTGCAGGTTGTTGTTACCCAGGTCCAACTCTGTCAGACTAGAGGACTGGGAACTCAGCACTGAGGACAGCGTTTCACAGCTTCTGTCTGACAGGTTACAGCCACTCAGTCTGAAAAAATGATGACAAGAAGACACATGAAACACTTGTGTTAAAGGATATTCATGGTGCCATGAGGAGCTACTACATTTATAATATTTCAACACTGTTTCAGGACATGCTGGAATCCATATTGCCTTATGTTACAAATCACAAATGTGGCAGTTTACTGTGACTTGGGTGGATTCATTAAAAAAAAAAAAAAACATACACACAGGCTCAATGTTATTTTTTCCAAATGAAATTGATTAAATGGCGTTAATTGATGAAAAAAATTGATATTGCTTGATCTGACCTCAGCGTTTCCAATTTGTAGTATTGACTCTTCATCCCAGCAGACAGAAGCTTCACTCCTGAATCCTGCAGGTTGTTGTTACCCAGATCCAGCTCTGTCAGGCCAGAGGATTGGGAGCTCAGGACTGAGGACAGAGCTTCACAGCTTCTGTCTGACAGGTTACAACCACTCAGTCTGAAATCAAGGGGGAAGGGAAACAAGATCAACAAAACAAATCACAGCTTTATTGCTTTTTGTTGTTTTTAAGCAGAAATGAGTGAGGTGCTGGTAGATTCTGTTGTTTTGGTTTATTACCCAATAACACACACATGCACTAATATATCTCACTTTTGTTATAGTAGCACTATAATGCAAAGCAACAGTGATCACAGATTGAAGGGGCCTGAATACTACAATGCAGTGATTTTTAAGATGTCCTGTTCTTCCAATTTCCAACAACAGATTTCTATTCTCCAACCTTACAGTTAAAAATAATTCTTTAACTCATACTGAATCTTGGTGCACCTCCCCCCAGTTTATTAAAATATAGTGGTACTGAAGTTGCTGTTAGTGATGTGTGATACCACTGATTTCCTTTCTGATCCAATACAAAGTAAAATTCAGGCTGGTATCTGCGATACTGATGAAAACTATTCCTTCAGAATCAATACAAGACAATATAGGAGAATATGATGTTTTGTATGACATAAAAAGCCTGAATTTGGCTGGCCTCTCCCTTAGAGATAGGGTGAGAAGTTCAGCCGGACAAGCTGGAGGAGGTGGCTGGGGAGAGGAAGGTCTGGGCTTCTCTGCTTGGGCTGCTGCCCCCGTGACCCGGCCCCGGATAAAGCGGAAGAAAATGGATGAATGGATGGTGTTATTTTCTCTCTCTTTCTTATATTAAATATTTTGAGTTGTATTTTGTTGTTTAAAGCCATCCGCTGCTGTTTTTGCACTATATATTTTTAAAATAGCTAATCTACAGTCACCTTTAAATTCTCTACAATTTGAACAAATGGGATTCTGTAGTTTTAAAGATGCAGTGAATTCCCATCATGTAAACAAGACACAAAAACCCTAAGCCTGGATTTAAGCCACTTTACAAAATTCAGTAACCGTGCTATACAACACTGCCAGCTCCATATTCACTCCCTCTATACAGGGAGAGTACCTGCCTGCAGCACTACTCTGTGTTAACATTTACTTTTATTTGTGTAGGAAAAGGTTTTCACCCCCGCGACATTTCTCACAACTAGCATCTTGGCAGTTTGTGGAGCTGAAATATCTTCACACATGACTTGCTTATGATCATCACCTGAGTGAGCAAGCACACGTCAGCTGTGAAGCATTTTTACAGCTGTATTTCACACATTACTGTGACAGGTGGAATAAGTAGTTCCTACTAATCATTTAGACAATCCCAAAAATGCAGTTACTTTCAACTGTGTTCCTGTTAATAATAAACAAAAAAAACAACAAAAAAAAACCAAATTGCTAAAATATTGATATTTTAATAAATTCTAGAACAGAAATATAAATATATATCAATACGTAACAATCAACACACCATGACTAGCAGCCTGGACACCCCTGATTCAGGTGAACCAGCCCAAGGCTACATACCAAGAGAAACGCCAAAAGAACCAAATTACCAAAAATCCAAACACAGAAATATTTGCACACATGTGATTCTGCATCCTACCAACCAACCTCAGATCTCCACGCATGCACACATCAATGAACATACATTTGCAGACATACAGATTTTAATGTTCTGTTTTTAGAGTGTAATTAGACTGTTTGATTTGGGTTCATAGATCAAAACATTTTAAGCTACTTAAGTGTTTAAAGGCTGTATCAAAAGTTCATTCAAGTTACAATATTGTGGTCAAAAGTTCTCCTTTTTTCTTTTACACTATACAACTACGTAGGCTCGTGGTTTTAGGACATGGATCTGTCATGGAAGAAATCTATGACCACTTTTAATCAACATTTTAAA